GTTACTAATTTTTTATTACTGAAAATTCGTTAGATTCTTATAAAAAAAAAAAAAAGAAGCAGTGGAAAAGATATTTTTTTTAACAGTTAAATAAATTTTATTAATTTAAAGTATAAGAGATATTTCTATCCATTCATATCAAGTTTTACTAATACAAAAAAGAGCAGTGCCAAGGGCAAGTCTTACTAATACAAAAAGAGCAATGCTAAGGACACTCGCCTCTTGCACTCTCCGGCCAACACTTCCCCTTTCATTGGGCCAGGTAAGCTTGTTTTCAGCTTTGAAGTGCAACTTCTTACCGACCAGAATAACGTGGCTTAATAAAAGTGAAAGTGTTGGCTGGAGAGTGCAGAAGGCGAGTGTCCCTAGCACCCCTCCACAAAAAAAAAAAACATGATATAATTATATAACTATTGATCTAATACATAATTTAAAATTACAAATTTAATCATATAAAGAGAATTCATAATTATTAATTAAATCCTTTAATCATAAAAAGGACTTCATCCGTATAATCCCCACCAAAGCATCTGCATTAGTCTCTTTTTGCATCAATGGAAAAGATATTAAAGTTGCCAAATTACCTACTTTAACTTTATTCATTTTTTAGTGGAAATAAAAAATGAACTGCATACGGTGTCTATATAGAAAAATTATATAATTTAGGAGAATTCATATGTTGAGATGAACGGCATACGGTATCTACATAAAATTTTTTTTATCTAAACTATAAGAACAAATGCTAGAACATAAAATACAATTAGAGATTACAATAAAAAATAGGTCAAGTTCAACAAGGGTAAATAAAAAATAATAATAATAATTCACATAAGCAATCTCTAAGGAGCCGGATTTATGATGGAATTTAATTCAATCAACTTCAAACACACCAAAAAAATACCAAGTGGGAGGACAATGTGCATGTGCCTCATCACGCCTAAGGGTCAAGATGTTGGGAGACGGAGAAGGTGTTTGTCTATATTTAAAAGGCATTTGTTTTACTTTGTCAAAAAAAAAAAAACACTTGTTTTCAAGGGTAATTCTTTTTAAAAAAATAAGATTTTATTAGAGAAATTTAAAAATTAAGAAACATAAAAAAGTAGATATTAATTTGCATTAAGAAAAA